GCTTTGTATCCCGGGGAGACGAGACGGTCCCACCTCTGCCGACTCCGATCTATAAAATCTCGTCTTCCCCATCTGTGTACATCAATCGTTGTGGCATCTGACTGTACGGTACTAAACAAAGCGTTCCCTTGTTCTTGCCGTGCTCGCGCTCGCGAGTTCTACTTTTGCTCAAATCAATGTCCCGGGTCAGGTGCCCATTAACCCGGTTGAGCCTCTGCAGCACCGTCTTGCCTATGCGGGCACCACTGGCATGACTGTGTCATGGAACACCTACGAGCAGATAAGTGAGCCGACCGTCTATTATGGCACCAACAGCTGGGACCTCTCCAGTTTCGCTACTGGCACGTCTGTCACGTACGTGACTTCATTAACCTGGAGCAATCACGTGAACATTACTGGATTGATGCCCGATACTCAGTACTACTACATTGTCTCGAACACTAACTGCTACAACTGTTCCGAGCTCACTCCATACACGTTTACTACTGCACGTAGCGCGGGAGATTATACTCCGTACACCGTGGCTGTTGCTGTTGACCTCGGTGTCATGGGCAGTACGGGCCTTAGTGCGACTAGCAAAGGCAAGATTTCCGCTAATGACAGCACCACCATCCAGTCTCTCGCTCGATATATGGATGGCTTTGATTTCTTCTGGCATCGTATGTACAATTATCATTTAATTAAACTGCTAGAGTTGACTAACGTTTAATAGCTGGTGATATTGGATATGCCGACTACTGGCTTAAGGAGCAGATCCAGAAATATCTCACATTTGTCCCTATCGACAAAGGTTACGAGGTTTATAACATGCTTCTCAACACGTTTTATGATGAGATGCAGCCGATCACTGCCCAGAAGCCATATATGGTTGGCCCGGGCAACCACGAGGCCAACTGCGATAACGGTGGCACGACCGATCCGACGACGAACTTATCCTACACTGTCGACATCTGTATGGAGGGTCAGAGGAACTTCACCGGTTATCGTAACCACTTCCGAATGCCGTCTAACGAATCTGGTGGTCTTGAGAGTTTCTGGTACTCATTTGACCACGGCATGGTTCATTTCATTCAAATTGACACTGAGACTGACCTCGGCCACGGACAACCGACAAAACATCAAAACCGTTCTACAACTACAACCACATTACATTGCAACCATCAAAACCGTGGCCAAGACGACCACAAACAACGCGGACGACGCCGTCAAACTCGTGCTATCATTGTGGTCTGTGACCGGCGAACTGCTGTTAGTCCAAGAAGAGCTCGACGCAGTCATGCTGCAGGTATGGTTCTTGTATAAAGTCGCGGTATCAAGGACCGAGCCGTTGCCGGAGACAATGAATTGGTGGGTCAAGTGGGTGCAGTTAAGGAACGTGAGCTTACTCCAGCCGTAGGTCGAGTTCTGAATATATCGAATGTAATCTGGGTTCCCTTGGATGGGATCAGTGGAATGTCATTGCGATGTCTAATTGTCTATCATTAATGCAATCTATTACATAAGCATGTATTACAAATCTCGAATGCATTAGCGTCCCATCCAACCACCGTCGACGAGAAGAATATCACCGCTCACATATTTGCTGGCATTACTGGCCAAGAAGACTGCCGCACCTTCGAAATCAGAAGGATTGCCCCAACGCTGGGCCGGTATCCGCTCCAAGATCTGTCGGGACCGGACGGAGTCGGCAATCAATGCCTCGTTCATGTCGGTCGCGATGTAGCCAGGTGCGATAGCATTGACGTTAACTCCCTTGGAGATCCACTCGTTCGAGAGCGCCTTTGTGAGTTGGCCGATACCACCTTTAGCCGCAGCGTAGGCGGGGACGGTGATACCTCCCTGGAATGTCAGCAAACTAGCAATGTTGATTATCTTGCCCTGCCGTCCGTCTTCGATGATGTGCTTCCCAACATCGCGGCATAATATGAAGCATGTTGTCAGGTTGACCTGAAGAACTTCCTCCCACGCGTCTTCGGGAAAATTGGTACTAGGGAAGCGGCGCTGGATGCCGGCACAGTTGAGAAGAATGTCAATCTTGAGACCGAGTTCGATGGCCTTGGGGACGATAGAGCGGACTTCGTCCTTCGAAGACAGATCGGCGGTGATGATGTAGCACTTCCGACCGACAGCCTCGATCTTCTCCTTCGTAGCGGGGTTTTCGTTCCTCTAAATCAATTAGATTTGCAACTCAATAAACAATAAAACCAAAACACACCTGAACAAGAATGATGTCTGCGCCAGCCTTTGCGAGTGCAAGGCTCATATTCTGGCCGATGCCGCGGGTTGCACCTGTGCAGAGCGCAGTCTTGCCGACGAGCGAGAAGAGCGACGCAAGGTATTCGATTTCGGCCATCGTGATAGTAGGAGAGATCGAATGGACGTGTAGGTCAATGACGGAGATTGTTTTCGGATGGCCAGTGAGTGAAGTTATAACTGCATTGTGCGTGGAGACCATGGTTATATGGTGTGGGGTGAGCCTCGCGGCCCTCCAAAAGGACGTGGGGGGGACACGGCCTAATCTGGTACTTGTTCCACATTCCCCACAATCCGCCTTTTCGCTGCATGAAATATAATCCGCACTGAGCATCAGTTCGGGGAGATAAGAAATAAATACGTGCAGCTTATTACTCGTCTATGTGCACAATACTATCGTAAGCTATTTCCATTGGAACTCGCCAACTGCTGCTTGGCTAGTTTGGCGGCTAGGTTATATGCTCTGACGGTCGCGTCTATGTCGTCGGCAAAGTTAGTCTGTTTCGGGTGGAGGGGCCCCGCATTTCCTACTTTCGCCGTCTGTCGCGATTGCTCTTCAGTTTCAGATCATGTCTTAACTGCTACGTTCTGACCTTCTTAGTCGTCCGTCTTTGTGAACCTATTCATCCACTGAGGAATGCTCTTAAACGGCTGAACAATGACTCAAACAGAGACTATTACCGTGGAAGCGGCCGAGGTCATCGCCGCTGTGCTGTACGGGAAGAAAGACATGAGAATTGTACAATTATTGCTATTCCACTTATTTAGCGACATACTGACATTTTTTTGCTAGGAAACGAAAGTCCTTCAGTCACCAGGGTCGAATGAGCTCCAGATCCTCGTCACCGAAACTGGCATCTGTGGTTCCGACCTACACTACTACCACCACGGCCGCAATGGCGACTTTGCCCTCCAACATCCACTTTCTCTCGGACACGAATCTGCCGGCGTCGTCACGGCTGTTGGATCCGACGTTCATGACTTCAAAGTTGGTGACAAGGTCGCCTTGGAAGTCGGCATTCCCTGCTCAGAGTGCAAGTTGTGCAAGAAGGGCCGCTACAACCTATGTCCTGACATGCGATTCCGCAGCTCCTGCAAAACCGCTCCTCACTATGACGGCACTCTTGTCCAGAAAGTCAATCACCCTGCGAAATGGTGCCACAAAGTCCCTGACACAGTCAAAGATCTCTCGCTCGCCGCGTTGGTGGAGCCCTTGGCTGTCTCCTTACAGGGCGTCAAGCGGTCCGAGCTAATTCCAGAAGACGCGGCAACCGTTCTGGTATTGGGTGCTGGCGCAGTTGGCTTGCTCACGGCATTTGCGGCCAAGAAGCGCGGCGGTGCGAGTAAAGTCGTCGTTGCAGACATTTCCGCTCAGCGCGTCTCGTTCGCAGTCGACAATGGCTTCGCAGATCAGGGAATTGTTCTCGTCGGATCCAAGGCCACTGAAAGCGATAACCCACTTGCACCCGCTATTGCCAGTGCTAACTTTTTGAAAGAGAAAGCAGGTGCCGATGTCGGATTTGATGTCGTGTTTGAGTGCACAGGCGTCCAGATCTGTGTGCAGACGTCTGTCTTTGCAGCCGCGGCTGGTACCAAGGTTGTTCTTATCGGTATGGGAACTCCTGTTCAGACGTTCGCAATCGGCTCCGCTGCTACCCGCGAAGTCGATATCATCGGCGTGTTTAGATACGCAGGAAATTACCCCGACGCGCTCGCTATCGTCGCCGAAGACGGAGAAACAGTCGGTAAACTTGTCACTCACAGAATGAAGCTCCAGGACGCTGTCGAGGCTTTTGAGATTGCTAGTACCCCAGTAGACAAGGACGGAAATTTGGTTCTAAAAGTCATGATCACGGAGTAGTCTGTCGTCGCACAGCACTACGTTATTTGTTCTATATCAGGGTTGGTGTGAACGGGTTAATTTTATTAATAAAATCTAAATAACTAACGTTAAGCCTTTTATTTGAATTGTACCGCATTCACCCTAAGTCTAGTTACTGCAGTACAGATTATTCATTCACTCATCATCAATGCCCGCCTCCATCGGCCATAGGCGGAGACGGATTAGAGCACTTAATTGCGAAGCTGCTGCTTACATACACACTTTGTGTATCTGCGTTTCACGAATCTAGAACCGCTATGTGCATTTATATATATATATGGAGAAACATTGGAACCTACCCGCTATTCCTCTTTGGGACCAGCTAAGGTATTTGCTAAGTTATAATGAACTGCCCCATTTTGTCGTATACATGTCTCCTCGTCCTTTAGTTTTGGATCTCTGAGGACATAAAACCGATCAATGAGGCTCTCTTGCTTTCAGCTTGCAACATTTTGTCGGTCAAGACTTTCGAAGCTCAGTAAAAGCTAGGAAACCACACGACATTCACCCTCGCACTGGTAACTAATGCAAGATTCCCGCCCCGATTTCGGCAACACGCGGTGGCTAACACGTTGACATTAATTCTTCAACCCTGAAGTGTTCCATATTGATATTGCCTTTTGTGTGATAGAGTGCATTAGTAGTTGTTATCGCATAAGAGTCCAAAACTAAATAGTACTGAGGAATAATAAGCTAGGCTCAAAGAGCAATAGGGGGTAGGGTACAATCAATGTAAGGAAGAGTGCACCTTTAGCAACTTTGGGTTGGGGAGTAGCTGATTTTAAGCCCTGCAAATTAAGATTTTAAGGGGTTAGGGTATATTGTTTGGCGAACTAGGGCCCGACACTGGATGCGATATTCAGAGGAAGCGGTGGCTCAATGGTAGAGCTTTCGACTCCAGTGTAAGCCGGTTAATCGAAGGGTTGCAGGTTCAATTCCTGTCCGTTTCAATTTTTTCATGTAATCGTTTCAGGTGTAAAATTGCACTAATATTTTTAGATGTAAAATTGCAATTGTATCATCTGGTGATACAGGGCACTGTCTTGTACTTCGTTTATTGTTTATTTTGTGTTCAGTTTTATGTATAGCAGGATAGGAATTGTAGTAATTGGTATCGCGTCTTCCGTTGTCGATTGCAAAAAAATCGAATTTTGGCGCCGCAATGTTTACAAGATTGCGCACGCTGACTTTCAAAGAGATTCTTGAAAGGTTAAGGAGTCGCTACTATGAGCTCGAGGAGGACATCATGGAGACATATGGCCGCGATGCAGAGGCAAGGGCCTGGACTATATTGTCAGCAGAGAGCGGGAGCATAGAGAGGCTGAGGTGGAAGATAACGAAGATGTTTGAATTTGTTACAGGCATGCGGTAGCCAATTGATAGTTAGGATCGCACATCCATTTACACTAGTATTCCACGAGAGAACACAAATGGCCATAATGAATCTGTTCTTAGGGTTTGGGGTCACAATTAGGAAGGGAGTGCCACATAAGATATGAAAAAACCAAACTTGCTAAATGTCTCTGTTAGAAAAAAATATTTAGTCAGGTCCTGAGGATGGTTCCGGAGGATGGAGCCAGACTCACATTGATTTATGTTCCTGTGCGTAGCCCATCGGAAAACTCAATATCAAAGTTCGAGGGACATGACGTTAAAATTCGATTTTTTTGCAATCGCACAAAACTTGAAATTTTGGCACCCGTTTAAGACTCCGTTGGATTCAGCTTGAAGATAGTCCCTAGACTTGTTTCCAATTGTTTCTACTAAAAGGGTCCGCACCGCCGTCGAATTGAGCGCTTCATTTCCCAGTCGCTATCATGGCGGTCTCAGTGTTAGTAAAGAATGATATCCGCTTAATATCATCGACCTTCGTGGTTGTGAAGTCGATGTTGTTGATCATCACTCAACTGGTAGTCAAGCAGTACGACACGTCGTCGCAATTACTGTTTACATCGCCGCATGTGCCTTCGCTGCTCAATTACTTGCTTTCGCGATTACTAGTCTGGGACACGGTATTTTTTATAAAAATTGCGCAGAGGGGATATGTATATGAGCAGGAATGGGCGTTTGGATGGATGTGGAATGGCACTATTCGATTAGTCGGGGACTGGCTCGTATTGCCGTTTCTCACGGTGCTGTATCCAGCGCTGGCGGAGGGGGAATCAGATGATGTGGGGAATAAAGTGGGTAGTATATACGGGTACGCAATTGCAGCTGTGATCATTGCACATGTGGGCCATTACTTGGCAGTCGTAATGCTCTACTTCATATCGTCCAATATCGAGCAACACATCCGCTCCAAATCATCCGACGAAACGAAATTGGCAAGCAATGGATCGCAGTCTGTATTTCCGGTTGTTTCCGCGTTGCTGTATATAATCTCCCCGGGTGGGATCTTCATGTCGGCGGGAAACGCTGAGACGTTGTTTGCATTCTTCTCGTTCCTTGGTATCTACTTCCGCGAAACTGAGCAACATATCCTTGCAGGCCTCGCTTTCTTTGTATGCTGCGGTCTTCGGGGAAATGGCGTGCTTTGGGGTATAATATTCCTTAATGACCTTTTCGAGTCTGCAAAAGTACGCAACTGGAACAAATCAATTGCGGTTATTGTGGGTGGTTCGCTTGTTGGCATTGGATTCTTGTCAGGTCAGGTGTACGCGTATTTCCGGTACTGTCCTGATCGTGAGTGGTGCAATAACACCGTACCGCTGATTTACGGTTACGTTCAGGGCCATTACTGGTATGTAATGAAATATCGGTGTTTTGCATGTTTCTTTTTTTCACTAATATCCCTAGGAACAATGGATTTTTAAATTATTGGCGCACATGGCAAATTCCAAATTTCTTGTTCGCATTTCCAACATGGTTTTTGTTCTACCGCTCATACCAAAAATACAGGTCAATCCCTCGCCTTCGACCGTACGTTATAGTCGAAATGTCAATGTTCGTCATGTCCCTCTTCTTGTGGCATGTCCAGATCATCACTCGCGTCGGAACTTGCATGCCATTAGTATACTGGTATGTCGCGGAAAGGATATATGCTGACATGCCTGAGGACGAAGGTGTTGCTGAAAATCAGTGGAGTTTTAAGGGGTTTGTTAGGCGTGCGAGAGAGGATTTCAGACAACGTGAGGGGTTGTGGGAGGTTAGGTACATGGTTACGTGGATTGGTGTTCAAGCAGTGTTGTATGCTTCGTTTATACCTCCTGCGTGACCCGAAACCCTGATCATTTGTAGAGAAGAATAATTGTAATTTATTAAGGCAGCGTCATTTGTCTCGCGTTTTGATTTTTAGAATAACTCCATAGAACCAACCTGTACTGGGAATGAAGTTGCTAGACTTCTGGTGCGGCTCAATTTGAACCATTAGGCATTCGCATAGATATGTACACCTGCTTCGTCTTTGTACTAATATCTTGTCATATCTAACCGCCAGACATCATTCTCAATGCCGCACAAAGTACTAGTGACAACAGGTGCGACGTACCCATTCGACGCCCTCATCGAGCTCATCTTCACGGAACGTGTCCTCAAGAAGCTCTCAGCGCTCGCCGTCACAGATCTTCAGATTCAATATGGGAGTACTCCCACTTCGCGCGTAGCATACGAAAAATGTGTTGAGAATTGTTATACTGTTCTTCAGAGCACGGGGATCAATGTAACGGGGTTTGGAATAACCGAAAATATGGCCAGCGAGATTCGGAGCAGCTGGCTGGTTATTTCGCATGCTGGTAAGCCTTTGTCCTCTTGCTAGTATCATTGGATATACGTTAACTGGGTATTTTTAGGAACAGGTACAATTCTAGACACACTGCGATCCCCATCACCGAAGCCGCGGCTAATTGTTGTCCCGAATCCAGTTCTCATGCATGGCCACCAGGCCGAAGTTGCTGCTGCCTTGGACGACATGAATTGTCTACTGTACTCCAAATTCGCAACCGAAGAGAGTATTGTGTCCGCTCTTGATAAACTCGACCGACAATTCACGGAGTTGCCTCAAAAGCACAGTCTTGCTGACCTGGTAAATTACGAAGCTGGCGTTATTCGGTAATATCAGAAAAAACATGTAAGATAGACTTGTATCATATCATAAATTTTAGATTAAGCTAAATAAACATCTGCAACAAAAATTACATTTGTCATAACAAAAAATTACACCTGGCCGAAATCGTTCATAACCTGTATCTTATAAGGACTCCCTCGAACATGAGACTGCAATCACCATGCCACTACCAGACTCCAGCATCACAAATATATTATATAAACCCCGACTTCAAAAGAAATGAACCACGCAGCATCGACGGTTCTAAAACTTAGTGCGCGATTCCATCCAACCCAAACTCCAGATCCCTTTCTAAGCTTCCATCAGCAGCAGCTTGGCCGACCGCGACAGACCCCATCTCGCTTGGCTTGGGAACGTCTTCAGTTGTGTCCATCTCCTCTGGAATGCCGACTTTCTCCTGTGCCGCTTGCTGCTGTTGTGGGTTGGCACGGCCCTGCCCACCGAGCATCTGCTTTTGCATCTCAACTGGCTGTCGTACTATCTTGCGAAAATCCATAACTTCTTGCATGATCATTTCCCGCATTTCATCGACAGAATCGACGGCCTCGAACGAGAAGTCGAATTTAGTTGGACATTCTGGCTCGTCAGCCGGATCATGCCAAACCGATAAGTACGGGTGCTCCAACGCCTCCTGGACAGTAATTCTCTCTGCAGGATCAAACGCAAGCATCCTTGATAGCAGATCTAGAGCTTGTGGGTTCGCTGTCGGAAACAATTTCGAGAACGGCACCCGAGGCATATATGGCAGGCTCCGAACGTACTCCTGTGCCCTCTGAGAGCCGATTCGGGACAATGTCTCACTAGATGGCGTTCCCAAGTAACGTAAAATCTGATTTAGCTGGTCAACATAGTCGTGACCCTTGAAGAAAGGCTTGCCTCCTAAGAGCTCGGCGAGGATGCAGCCGACGGACCACATGTCAACTATAACGCACTGTTAGTTAATTCACAATATTCTACATGATCGACCATCTAAACTTACTGGCTTTCGTATAACTTTGGAATGACAGCATTATCTCTGGTGCCCGATACCACCGAGTTGCGACATATTCTGTCAGGAACCCAGCGTTTTCGGCAGGATCAGCTGAAAATCCTCTAGCAAGACCAAAATCACAAATTTTTAGCTCGCAATCCGCATTCACCAGCAGATTACCGGGCTTCAGGTCTCGATGAAGGACATTTGCAGAGTGGATATATTTTAAGCCGCATAAAATCTGGTAAATAAACGACTGGTAGTGCGAATCTGTTAGAGGCTGTTGTGAGCGGATGATTTGATGCATGTCACATTCCATTAGCTCTTCATAGAGGTAAATCTCATTGAAATTGTTGGTGTCGACGATATCCATGTCATATAAGCAGGTAATCTATCAACAGTTGATGAACGAGCCCCAGCACAACAGTACGACCAATAGACGGCCCACTTACATTTTTGTGGCCCCGAAAATGCGTAAGCAATTTCAATTCTCGTAGAGCTCTCTTCGCTAAGATTTTCTTCGAGAAAATGTTGGTCACTTTTTTGATCGCGACGCCAACTGCTTGGTTGGATTCCGTGTAACGAGCCGCGCAAACAATACCATAAGCACCTTGACCCAGCTCCTTTGTGACCTGGAAACGACGATCAATGGTGAAATCCTGATTCAGCACCCTGCACTCCGTTAGACTGAAGCACCAATTAGTGGATCGCTTCTGCGTACCTATACGTATGGCGCTCGATTTGGATCATTGTGATTCGTGTTCAATTGAGAGCGGGCGACAGACCGTAGGGAAACTAAACTGATCCACAGATTATTTGGTTCTGCAGAAAGCGGCTGCTACGGAGAATGCGCTGGAGAAAGTACGAAAACAAATAATTCCTGGAAATTGCAGTGTGTTATTTGTGGACGAACGTGT